CCCATAATCTCCTTGATCAGAAAATTTGGGACACTACCGAGTTACATGACATTACAGTACAAGTTCTCATAGGTCCTGAGTCTTAATTGACCTTGGAAGGTTCGGGACAAAATGTTGGCTTTGCTTGCAGCCCTCCTTTTTCTCTAATTTTGGTCTACAAATTTATGTTGCTAACACTCCAGAACAGAACCTTATTGCTATTGCCATACAACCTAAGCTGTTGAACTTAACCTCATTATCTATCTGAATATTAAACATCTTATGCAAAACATGGAACAGGTGAGAGATGGCCGACCTGTGTGGAATGCTTACCTTTAGGGCTTCTACTGGCTGCAGGCTACATGAAAAAGACTTGGGGAGACCCATAAGCCACTCAGTGGAAGCGGTGAACTTTTAGGAAGTGACTGTGACCTTCACCATGGGTGAGTGGTTTCTGTTGTATCCATCCCAAAAGGAGTTCTTCTGTTGTATCCATCCCAAAAGAATGTGATGTAGGAAACCTTCAAGAAATGTTTCTTTCATAGAAATAAACTGGGATGACCAGAATACTGAGGATGAGTACAAAAGTTGCCAAAGAATTCGAAGAAGTGAAAAGGTGGAGAAATGGAATCAACTTGAATTATTGTATCTATATGAAGAAATGGTTTTTTGTTCTCCAGTTGATAATGTGTACATGAAAGCAGTCAGTACAAAACCAGGTGAAAACCTTGCCTGTAGAAATCTCATTAATCACTTATCAAATGTGCCCATCATAACTAAGACTGAACTCAAGGCATATGAATATCTGGGATTAAAGTTTAGCAAACATGGGGAAACCTGCAATGAATTCCAGTGCTTTCGGAAGCATGCTAAGACAACTCATGAAGAAAAAGCCTATGAACATAAGGAATATAGAAAATCCTACTCAGATTGGATTGAAGAAATTTACATAGAAGAGAAGTCCTTTGAATATACACAAAATGTGAAAGTATTTAGTACACTGAACTGTGTTCAAATCGAAGGAAGATATCACAATGGAATATATATATATATATATATATATATATATATATATATGTCTGTGTGTCTGTGTACACAATGTGAAAAACATGGAACAGGTATTTTTAATCAATTATTGATATGTTAAACTTTACCCACAGAACATGACAAAAAATAAAATGTATTTAAAAATAGGAATAAAAAAATTATATATGTTTACCCATAAGTTCCGAAGGCTAACTATACACAACATTGTAGCAGGATAGCCCCACAACACTCCTTTTCCTGTCTCCTGCTTTCATTCATCACCCTCTTCCTTTTTAAACAACCATCTGCCCGAGAGATAGCACAGCCGCAACTGGTGTGTCATGATAAGCAGCACGTATTCAGAAGACCAGAATGACAGGCTCTCCAAGCATGAACCTACTATTACAAATTGCCATCTTCAGGGTAGTTGCTTAATTCACAAGTGTCAGCATCTATAGTTAATTAGGGTGAGAATCCTTCCTATTAACTGCTAGATTTGAAAATCTTCA